TTTCATATAAAGTTATTACTATATAGTAATTTATTTTCACGGATCGGAATGAAATAATCGATTAATCGCAACTATACAACGGATATCCTAGGAAATATGTTGACTGTGAGATGTATAAAAAGGAGTTGAAGCGACGAATGAAAAAAAAACCATGAATTATACTTAAACATAATTTTTTTAATTTTATCAACTAGCTTTTAAAGATTTTGTACACAATCAATTTCACCAACGGGCTTTTAATAAAAACTTTATACAACTGAATAAATTTTTATTACGAACAAAAACATAGAGTACGGATTTGAAACAGTTTTTATACGCCATATTAACAAAAGTTCATACGCTAAAATACGTACGTGCCGTGAGCATATTGTGATAATGATTATAATGATTAATCATGCTAGAGCAAACAGTTTTCAAAACTACTACTTATCGCCTGCCGTTACTTAACAATAAATGTTTATTATTAACGCACGCCTAACTATTAAACTATATAATTATTGGTGAACTTCAACAACTTTGGTATTGTTGTCCAATGAAGTTGTAGGGTGTAAAAAATGTTTGCTTTGAACGAACAATAAAATCCAATTTTTATTTTTTATATCACCCTCTCGCAAAATGTAAGTTTAGCTTACTAATGTAAGCTGAACTACGCCCGACCGTCTATATCTACGCGCCAAAACTGCACTGACCTACAATTGAGTCCTAGGTCCCCCTTAAAATCCATGATTAGACAACAGAGTAATAGACACTCACCTAGGTATACATTTGGCAGTATGCGTGTATGACCATAACCAATGAGATATGACAACACGTATCGATTGTCGTGCTGGAATCATCCGGAAGTGCCGACGCAAAACCACGCCAGCTGCAAAAAATATATCCTACATTGACTCCTAATAGTCCTAAATCCTGATTCAAGTGACATCGCTAGGATGATTCCACCAACCACGATATCTTTTCTAATTTGGGCATCACGGGTGGAACAACGATCAGGGACGATCAAGTTGGAGTTTTCCGGGTGTGTCGCAAGAAAAAAGATCATATTTTTAAAGTAGCCCGAATTTGTCCCAGTAAATATTGAGTAGTCCGAGGTGCACCACGAAGCGGCAAACTAGCTTACATTCAAAAAATATTTTTATTATTTTCAGAGACGTGAATTTAGCATTAAAATATCAATAGAATTTTTCAAAAACCTTCGCTGACCATTTTCAAATAGACTTTTTAACTATCCTACAATTTTGCACTGCCAACTTCACACCTAGCCAGTTGCGTACACACGGGGGGGGGGGGGTCAACCCCCCCCCCCTAGTATTTTTTCCGTTTACGTAATTACTTAAAAATGTATAGTAAAAATGATGACAATTTAAAAAAAAAATTAATAGTACTAATAAAAATAAATACAAAATTAAATTAAGGGAATTTCAGTGTTACCGTCACAATCGAGTTTAGATTAAAAATGTACGGCGAGAAGACCGTCGTCACCGACGTTATTATTTAATAATAATAATTATTAGATATGGGATATTCCAAATTATACTCCATTATATTATAACATCATATTTTAAACAGAAAAATAATTATTTACACAGGACAGATTAAATGGATTGACCATGTTGTCGGTATACCGTGATATAAATTTAACTCCTGAAGAAGTCATTGATGAGTTGGGACAAAAACCCAGGAAAATAGACATTGTTTTAAAATGAAAATAAATATTAGTTAAACAACATATTATTTTGATTTATCAATGTATAATATATATATGTATATAATTTTTTATATGTAAGCCTCCCCCATTGAAAATAGCTGTGTACGCCACTGCACCTAGCATTACCTTTTTTTTCATTTTTGAATCGACGACGCCGCGGGAACTGCTTTCGCAATGCTTCCGCGACCACAGCATTACCTAACCTAACCAAATCTAACCCACCTAATAACCATTAGTCATTAGGTACTTAAACCATGAACTGTAAATAATTGTAAAAAAATGTAATACAATATTTAAATGTACTGTAACAATTATAAATATACCTAAATATGTTGTATAACACCTATGTATACAATATGAACTCTACTTTATGTACGATTAACCGCTGGCCTATTCGTAAATATTAACACACACAGATATAATTGTAAGACCTATGACCAACACAAACAATGTAATAGTAAGTCAGTTCATTGTGTACCTTACTTAGACTAATACACAACGACCGCTGGACTCCGTACGACACCATACAGTCACATAGCATAGATCGCAATTACTTAGTTGTGAGTATTATTATTTACAAGTTTTTTTTTCTCGTATCATACACGTGTGTGTTTGTGTAATATTATAAAACTTAATAATAACTGAAACTGAAACCTAGTTATTTACATACCTACATTTAAGATTCCGATATCAATATAGGGTCCTACGACTCTCCCTAGACATCGTATATTTAACTGGTCGTTCCCCGACCACGTTACAGTAGGTACCATCTACATAATATATTATAAATTATAATATAATCGTACTATTTTAAAGTACCAAATACTTGCAACGCAGACCAAAAACATGCAACCAGCATCAAGTATTTCTATTTTTCAAAAGGTAGTGCAGTGATTACAGCTCCGACTCCGAGTGCTGTGAAAAAGATAAGTCGAGTGAATCACTCTAGTACATGCATTTAATTTGAATTAAATGATACATATAAAAGCAATGTAAAAATGTAAATATATAGAATATACGACTCATATATTACCTACATTTACGCTCAACTTTTTTTTAATTACACAATTATTTACAACTTATGTCGAACATTGTATTACATTTTCAAGTTTTTGATCGAGCACCGAATAATTTATCGAAATTGTCACATAAATATTTGACACGGTTATCGAGTAACAAAAAAAAATTGATTTTGCTAAAAAAATCACATTTTTTCTGATAAATGCTTAAAAAAATTAATATCACAAATTAACAATGTGTAAAATAGTGTGAACTATTATCAAATTTAATAGCACACTATTAAGACAAGTGAACGAAAATTTGTAATGTACGTGTATAAGACGGAGGCAATAGATGCATGGGTAGCGTCTTAGTTTTTTCATTTTTCCCAATGCTTTTGAAAACTACTGGGATTTTTTTACATTTGACCCCACAAGTACCAACTAGACTCACATTTCTATCAGAAGAGATGGTGAAATAGAAAAGCAATATTTTTACTGCCCCAAAAGTTGATGAGACATAAAAACAACATACATCATTGTAAAACTAATACATTCGTTTGCCCGGCTCAACATTTTACAATGAACAAAAACATTTAATTCAATGTCTAAAAAATGAATTTTTGTCCACAAGCAAGATGGTTCTTCCACGGACTAAAATCGGGTGATCCATTTTATATCATATACACCAAACGACCAAACCCATTAAATTCAGCCACCATTTTCATATTTATATTAATTTTGCATTGCTTTTCAATAATAAGGAAAATAAGAGAATATTGACGTAAGAAATCAAAATCATCATTAACATCTTTAAACAATACAAATAAATAATAAAATAAATAGAATTATGCTACAATAAAGAAATTTGTAAAGAGTTTATTTAGATAATGCCTAACACTGTTTCTGTCCCAGTTAACTAAACTTAAATTATTGTAATGTTCATGATGGTAGTATATTTTATAACTGCTTTAAGAAGGGACTACTAAATTGATGAGAAGACCTTAGCAAATGAACATCTCTGAAGGTATACCATAATATGTGGACACATATACTGAACATATTATACAACTAAATCTTTCACTTCATTCAAAGTCTAAAATATATATTACAGTTATTAAAATTACTTGGATGAAACACATATTACTTAATATATTAACACAAAACAATTAACATACTATAATACAACTAAATCAATAGAGTATTGCTTAATTATTTATTATATACCTATAGTCCATTTATATCATGAGTATTTCTCAGCGGCAACTGATTTTTTCTGATCCGGTCACCTGACATTCCCACAAACACCACTATAATAATACAGATAGCTGTTGTGCGAGCGCAGTACTAATGCAGCTAGTTGTAATAAGTCTGCTGATGATTACAATTTAGTAATATCCAATAATATTACTAGATAAACGCATATTGCAACAGCAGTGGTGGTTTTGACATGTTTTTTTTTTACGAGGCAACTAAGGTTAGGTTATCAAACCTAAATACATTATTACTCTAATACAGAAACACAAGTATAACATGTTACAGTATTCTTTAAATGCATTCTTCCATGCATCAGTGACAACAGTACTCTGTTGTGCAAGTGTAGTTCCCGGTTAACTAGTAGCGCAGCTGTATACAATGTGCCAGGCAGCCAACGTTCAAAGGGGGTGGTGGATTGTGTATGCATCAGCTGGAGTATTGAGCATGAGCTCTTTACACTATCTTAAGTGTACATGCAAGCTTCTGGCACTAAACATTCCAACATTTAGTTTATCTACAGTATCTATGGTGTTTAATATATAATAAATATTTTAAAGTATACGAATAAAGTCAAAAATATTTTTTAATTTTTTAAATCACTTTTTGCCTCACTACCCAAAACCACCACTGCAGCACGGCTGTTAAAAAATGATCCGACTAAATAAAAAAAACTATAAGGTAGCATGATGTGGTGTGATAAATGGTAATTGATGTATCCAGTGCCTACTGCTACCACCATGAGCAAACTGCACGCTAAAAAGTACTAATGTAAAGTAGCTTTAATGTAAATTGACAAAAAAATTGTGTGTAATAAGTATAAATTATTTATTGTATATTTTATTTTTGTAAGTAATTGATAGTTATAAAATATCTTATTCAGTTAAGTTTGAAATATTTTATTGTTGAATTATGAATCCTGTGATTATTTAAGTAGAATATTTTATATACCAAAAACAAAAACATTAACACTTAATAAAAAAAATAAAAAATTGATAATATGAATTTATACTTATTTTACTTTATAACTAATAAGTACATTTTAAACCTGATGTATATTAACTATAAAGATGCCAATAAGAAGTAAAAACAATAATGTTATATACACTAAAAATAGCAATAAAAATAACAATTTGTCTTAAGAAATTCAATTAGATACACTACAAAAAAGTATATACCTAAATATACATTAAAACCATATTCTAGGTGTCAACAATATAAATTATTAAATTTATGTTAAAATGATAGGTGAATCACACTGGAGGGAGGACCGTTTCCAGGAATTTCTTAAGATCCCTTAATTCCTGTAAAATATAAACAATATAATTAATAATATGTTTATTTAAATAATTTATATTTTGTTTTTAAAGTTATTTTAGTTATCATAATATAAGTAACAAGACTAAAAAATAATGATAAAAAAAAGGATAGAATATTGTATTAAAATGCTTGTATCTTCCATTATACAAAAAAAAAATGCAATTTCTACTCAAAAATTGTTATTTGATAGTTGACCTAATAAAAAGGCTTATCTGTATATTATAAAATCAATGCTATTAATTGTGAATGACATAATGTATCAAGGAATACAAAAGGTAATTTTTTACCAATCCAGCGCCGTCGTAGCACAGGCTAAGTAAAAAAAAAAAAATGGCGGCACGGCAATAAATATTATCTTGAAACAGGGGTTGCCCATTTAAACATAGTAAACATTTTGGATTTTTTTTTAACCGAACCTAACTAATTATCTACTATATCAATTAATACATATAATTAATTATTGACTATTACTTTGTCACGCGCATTGTTGGTGTGTATCTAATGTGTTATTGAATTAACCTAAAATTAAATATAATACTATAATAGTACTATACTACTATTGTGTTTTTAATACTTTATTTTAATATAGGTACTTACTGAATAAGAAAAATAATCATAGTGATAAAATAAATCCCCCCGAAAAACTGTAAATATATAAATGTTAAGAAAATTGAATTAAAGTACACTTATTACAAAAAACAAGTTTAGTAAAAAAAATCAATTCTTTGACCTTTGTAGTAATAAAGACAGATGGTCTAGTGGTGGTTAAGACGTTTATATAAAAATCCTAGAGAGGGAAAAATAATATATAAAAATTATTGATGTGCAAAAAATAACCAAGTAAAAAATATATATAAAATCGGATACTAACTTTGTAACAACTGAAGATATAGACTTAATAAATAACCAAAAGGTTGCTGAAATATTGCAGATACAAATCAAAAAGTCCTAACAAAACTATACCCTGTTTCAAAAGAGAACATACCAGGCGGCCATGGGCAAAACTGGTTTTCTTATGTAAATCTGGTATATTCTCTTTTGAAACAGTTTATAGCAAATGTACCCACATGCCTTTAAAAAAAAAAAAAAAATATTTGATAAGAGCCTGATAATTCTTATGAAGTGGACATCCATATCATAAAAAGCATTCCATCAAGTGGACCCAACATAATTGTATACATAGTAACAAATAATAACATTATATGTTCTTATCAGATTAGGCATAAAGTCATCAAGTTTGATTTTCACTTGTGTAACTTCTTAATAAGTAGTATGTTAAATAACTGGGCTACAGTTGTAACACATCTGACTAAATATTCCTTAAAACGCTTGTTATTACAGAAATGACAATTTTAATAATTTTAGAAATTATGACATTTATCTCTATTAACATTTAAAAATATAAACAAAGGAGGGATAAATATAATTACATTAATATACCTACCTACATTTAAACAAATTCTAAGACAAAATTATTTTTATGCTGTTAACTTAAGTTTTAATAACAAATACATACCATATCAGATGAACTGTGCATTAAGCCTCGGTATGTTTTGAGTTCGGTATTTTTAGCAAAAGACTTAAGAATGGATGCTGTAAGTTGACCCCATTTTAGTGGTACAATTGGATCACAATCTCCGTGACACTGAATTATCGGCATATCTTTGTTACTTATAGCAGCCTAAAAACCAATCATAAATATATTTTATCAAAAATAGGAATTAATTAATGATTCTTACTGCTGGAAAACTTTTATGTAATGGTATCCAACATGATAGAGCCATAACTCCAGCTAATGGTTTGTTATACGTAAAAGCTGAGTACAAAGCAAGAGCTCCACCTTGTGAAAACCCACCAATGGCAATACGAGATGATGGCACATTGGAAGTTTCAATCTCACGATCGATAAGAGAATGCACTAATTTAGCAGCTTCTTTAATTCCACTTTCATCTTCTGGACCTGATTCATCTAAAGTAAACAAATCAAACCATGAAGGCATACGGAAACCTTGGTTCAGAGATACTGGCATCGGACTCCTGTTGATTTGTTTAAAAAAAAAATGTAGATACATCAAAACTACAAAAATGCATCAATTTTAAAACTTACGCAGATGGACATATAACTTTCACATAGGGTTGTCTTATTTGTGTCATTGCTTCAGCCCAGCCATTTCTAAAAAAAAAATTAAAAGCATACGTTAATACTTCAAGTCTTAAGAGTATTTTAAAAAAAACATAAGTAATAAACTAATTTGATATAAAATAAATACCTAGTTAACTAAACAGAATAAGAATTAAATATAGTATGGGTAAGTTCATCAAATCATAATATTATTAATTGTTATATTTAGAAATAGTAAGTAGTCAATTATGAAAATCTACAGAATTCAAATGATTAACTTTCTCAAGAGAATGTTAAAATTGAGTTTCATACTTAGTTTAGAGACAAAAAAAAAAAGTTATACCATTTTGGAATACAATTTTTTGCTACCTAAATTTAAACAATAAATAGCATACTGTACCCTGAATCTCCAAGACCATGAAGAAATATGACCTGCAAAACAAAAAATAGTTATTAAATTATGTTTCATGTTATCGGTATTTTTGAAATTAATATTGATAAAAATGTATAATCAATAACATATTAAATTAATATAAAACGACAAAAGGAATCGTCCAATATACCTAATAGTAGAATACTAAAATGTATAATAGTATAGTAGATACATTATGAGTTATTTTACTGATTCATTTCTAATTGGAAAATAAAGAATTGTAATCAATGTACTACCAATTATCAAATATAAAAAAAATATGTGTGTACAAAACAATTTTGTGATCGGGTAGAACGCATATTAGTTCGTAAGAAGTTACAACACCAGGATCAATTATACTTAGGTCAACAAAATCATATTATAGCTGTCTAGTACATTTTACACAAAATTTACACAGTTGACAATCTATTCAACTGCATTTGGTGAAAAGTAAAATATTGAAGAAACACATTAATCACATAATTTACTTACAGTGGCCGTCTGTTTAACGGAAGAAGATATTACCACGGGATTAATAGACATGTTTGCGGAGGACTTTGCGAAAGTATTAAAGTTAGAAGAATTAATTACGGAAAACAACGAAAAAATCAATCCAATTTGGGTTAATGCCAGTTTTTGAACTGCCGAACTTTTGTGGTTATGTAAATCCATAGAAATGTCGACGAATTTCATGGAACGCTAAATCAAACCGATACGAAATTTAAAACACAAATGTCAACACGCATTTGAATAAATTATAATAATAATAATCGAATAATAATAATAAAACGGATCCACTAACACTATGTCACTACTATACACGGTCGGTATTGACTGCTGGCATCAGTTATCCTGTTCGAATTAGCATTGATCACGGCTTATGCGAATATAATGCTCGGTGTTGTGACCCCGATGGGCAGTTAATAATAATACATATGATATTATATTATTAAATTTATTTAAATATAAGTAACCAGGTTTATAGGTAAGTAATAATAATTATGACATGACAGCCGGAGGGCAACACAGAGTAACACATGATTCCTGTTTAGCTCGTGACATAGGTAGGGTATCTATGAGACCGGTCTCTTGTATTGTGATCAACGCAATGCAAACCGCTACGGCGCATATACCTGCCTAATGTAGAATAAATTAATACAAATAATGGCTTTTGAATTAATTCAATGTTAATTCACGTATAGGAACTATGCTGATGAGTTTATTATCAAGGGCATTGCAGGCGGCGGTGACCTATTTACCAGGTGAGTTCAACTATTATATTTTTATTATTATTATTACTATATTATTATTATTAGATAATCAATCTTTTTACGTCTCTACAGACCGTACGGACTACGGAAGAGTGCATGGGGACCGTTTTATACATACTAATAAGTAATATATAAAGTACCTACCTATCTGTGTATTGTGTTGGCGCGTGTTAAAAACGATTAACTGACTATTAATTATTCATATAGGTATTATATAGGTATAACCTACACTTGTTAATACTATACAGCTGGGTAGTTGCTATGTATTGTGTATTAGTGCTACTATGCTACCTACCAATACTTACTATTTGTACTAAGCAGCTGCATCTTGCAAACCCAAGATGATAGAATAAAATGCTGTCCGTTATCCTTGTACGGTATATCGTGCAAAATGAAAATATGTTGGCTGTTCTATAAATAACATCCCCAATGATTATTTACCTGTCTACTAATAAAATTACAAAACGTATTGAATGAAGTATATTTTTATTGTTTCAACATATCTTGACTTTTTAGTTTTTTTTAGACATTTTTTACAATTAAATCATTTTTAACCTATTTGTTTCTATAAACATTGTTATCTGTTATACCACTGCAGAATAGATACTGTTAAAATATTTCGTTCGCACATTATTTTTTTATAAACGGTTTTTATTAATTTTAGGGCTAGTTATTTAAGTGTAGGGATATGTAGTAAAAAATTGTATAAATGTAAGTTATATTTAATTTATATCACAGGTTTCCAGCAATAATCGTCTGAATCCTTCCGAATTCTAATGAGCGAATGTTTGACGGTTTCGCATTCGCTTGGCCCTAGATTTGGATGCCGTGTAATCAAATGGGAGTTATATAACTTATAATACGTAATAGGCAGCTTCATATATGAGCATTAGGCAAACGTATAAACATAATTACCTAATGGCTATTACCTACCTATAATAGTATATAGCCATGTAGGTATACACCTTAATTGGTTTATAAAACAATTGGACATTATAATTTTGTAGAAGTTATATGCGAATTTCCTCACCACCTTAGCATAAAAACGTCAACATTGTAATATTGAATTCCGTTTAAATCCATGAGGTATTACACATGGCACGTCTTTTTTTATTGTGGTACCTATGACCTATCCCCGTTAAGGGTGACAGAGGCAGTGCGTTTTTTAGTTGAAAAAATATGTCTTACAGGAAAAACTCTCACGCCTTGTATAATAGTCTGATTTCTTTAAATTTTTTTATTTGCAAGAAAAACGTTTGCGAGAACATTTTGCAGGTTGAATCAAACCCTAATTTTTAAAATTATGACTAAAGAACCTAAAATATATGAATTTGAATAATGCACGATATTTGTTATTTTTCACACGAATTTTTTTAGCACCATTGTAAGTAAAATTAAAATTCAGTCTTCAATCTGACTTAATCCGACTACCTATTCTACAGCGCGTGGGAGTTGTTCTATTTATGTCATTTTCGTTGATAAAATACATCTTATCAACATCTTTTAAATAGGTATCGGCCAGTAAATTAGTGGATAAGTATTAAAATTCAGATTATAATTAAAATATAAAACATAATTTTTAAATTGTATAGAATTGTGGACAATTAGGAAACCCGACTCCGACTCCCTTAAGGCCTAATCTACACTTACAAATAAAGTATCGACTTTATCTAAACTTTGACCGCTCAAAGTAATTTATCTATTGTTAATGTTTAATGGTGGATAAGTTTTTGTTTTAGTGTACCTATATAAGATCGTTTACGAGATTTGACGAAAGACCAACACCGTGGTTAACAATAATTAGAGAAATAATAAAATTTATAAAATTCCGTATGGCACATTATACAATCGTTTTAATGGGAAACATGGTAAAAAACCTGGAGGACAGGCAATATTTAGTGATGACTGATGAGGATGAAAAAAATATGATAGCTGCTGTATCAAAATGTGGTGATTGGGGATTCCCTTTAACTTTAATGGATTTAAGGTAAATATACACAGTTTGCCTATATTACAATTAGTCTTAAAATTAATTAAAATTATCTTGTATTAGATTAATCGCAAAAACATCACTAGACAAAAGAGGAATAATAGTTCAGAAATTTAAGGATAACCTCCCTGGTGATGATTGGGCAAGGAGTTTGTTAAAAAGACACAATACACTGACTCGAAGAATCACTACAAACATTTCTAGATGTCGTGCCGAAGTCTCCCCTTCTACAATAAATTCATATTTTGATAATTTGTCTTCAGTACTAAAAGATATACCTGCTGATAATATTTTCAATTATGATGAGATCAACCTCCAGGATGACCCAGGAAAAAAAAATTTTTATTCAAGCGTGGTACAAAATATCCCGTACAAGTTCAAAACCACTCTAAAAGTGCCACCACAATAATGGTATGTGGGTCAGCAAGTGGTATTCTATTACCACCATATATCATTTATAAGTCTAAAAATTTGTGGGAGTCTTGGACTAATGAAGGACCCAAAGGATCTCTATGCTGTGAGAGTCCTTGCTGCTCAAAAGGAACCAGATATAATTGTACATCACATGGATGGATGGTATCACATTCAAAGAATGGTTTTTCACTTTATTTTTGCCTCACGCAAACCGTTTAAATGGGCGAAAAGTATTAATAGGAGACAACCTTGCATCTCATTTTAATCCTGAAGTAATACAACAGTGTGAGGATTCTGGTATTGATTTTGTATGTTTACCCAAAAATGCAACACATTTAACTCAACCACTAGATGTGTGTTTTTTCCGGCCTTTAAAACAAAGTTGGAGATTTTGTTTGAAAGAATGGAAAAATCGTAATACAAGTATGCAATCTATTCCTAAGTCATCTTTTCCAGCATTGGTAAGTAGTTGTCTTCAACGAATCAATGATGTTGGAAGCATATCGAACAATTTAAAATCTGCATTTCGTGCCACTGGAATTTTTCCATTAGATCGGAATGCTATCTAACAAAAATTACCAAAAGAAGATGACCCTAATATTAATGATATTGTTGTTAATTATTTAAAAGATAAACGATTTGAAAAAACAGATAAAACAGAAAAAGAAAAAAAATTAATATTGCTCCAGGGCAGAGTGTGACCTCTGCTATTTTAAATAATGCAGATAGTGATGATGATTCACCAAATGCAGTTATCCCATATATAGACACAGATTCTGAACATGAGCTAGAAAATGAAGATGAGGTTCCAGAATATCAAACACCAACCAAACAGACTCTAAACATTGGTAATTTTGTGTTAGTGAACGTCCAGTTAGGAAAACGAAAAAAGACAATTTATGTAAATGCAGCTGTTATCAAAAATATTGTGAATAATGTATATACACTCAATGGTCTTAAATCATTAGATGGCTTAAAAAAAATTTTCAAATTCAAGATGGTGATGTATTTGATGTTGATATTAAACATATAATTGCAATTTTAAAAACACCACAACTGACAAAAGAAGCTAATTATATTTTTTCACCGCCACTCTCTGATGTTAGAGAGGCATTGTAACTGAAAAGTATTATGACTGTACTGTTAAACTGTACGTTCAGTCTGTTACCTACCAATATATTATAAACTCAAGACTGCCTAGTAAGTTCCTAGCTAAGTCAATTTAAACATATTTAAATGGATGTACCTATTTATATTTTATTTTGTTTTGTTTTGTTTTTTAACTTAGAAATTATTATGTTTAAACTGTTATGGTACTTGTTAAAACTAATATTTATATATATTTAGTTTTGTTTTGTATTTTTATTTAAAAATTGTTATATTATCCTGTGTGTTAAGATAGTTTACAAAGTATTGTACCTAACCTCAAGAGTCCTAGTAACTAGTTAAGCCAATATAAATATATTTGAATGAATTTATTTATATTTTTATATTTTAATATTTTGTTTTATTTTGTTTTTAATTTTGAAACTATTATTATATTTTTACTGTTTCACAAGATTGAATTGGTCAACTTAATAAATTATTATCCACTTAAATGCTATTTTATGTATTTTTTTATTTATACAAATTAAATATTCATGTCAATTTCACCCCATATCACATTTTATGTTATAACTCAAAAACTATTTGACCAAATTAAAAATAGTTTGAGATTTTTAACTTTCATACCATTACCAATAGTTTAACAATAAAAAAAATAGGGGTATCAAAGTCACCCCGAATTCCGTTTGACTTTGATAGCAACTTTTAAAAAAATATTTAAAAAAAACTATTCATTAGAAAAAAAAAAAAAAAAATTTAGGAATGTTGGTAAAATAGTACTTGATACGACGAAATTATTTTGAGATCTGTAGCATGAGTATTAAAAAAACTATACGAAAAAGAACAAAAAAAATCAACAAACTTTATCAATGTCGCCCCAATTTACGGTATCTCATAACATATATATTAAATTATTTTATATTGCATATACAAATGAACAAAAAAAGTATATCAATTTTTTTTAATAATATTAAGTCCAAATTCCATGGCTTCTTGGCTAATTCATCAATGGCCTCTTGCTTTAAAATTATTAGTAGTCGATTTCCTTTTTTTATTTTTATCCATTTTGGTTTTTGGATTAGAAAAATATAAAATTCTAACAATAAATTACTATTTACTGTGAAGTGTGCATAGACAAAAGATTTAAGTGGTTAGTCGTTACAGAGTGTTAATGTGTACTGTGTAGTGTTTAGCGTGTAAACGCGTCGCGAAAACCAAGTAGATAGTAAGATAGGTACTGTGTGACAGCACGAGTTCGTAGTACCTATTCACTATTCGTTCATACCAATATTATTGTTAATCTTGAAGTTACATTTTTACTATTAGGTTATATTTTTGGAATTGTGGTTTTACCAATCATTGAAGTATTTAGTATTTACTATCTCATGTATCTGTATGTAGCATGTAGGTTAGGTATAGTTAGGTTCTATAATTACTATTTAATTGAGTAGAGAATTTGTAGCTCTAAAAAAATCACCAAATATGCACTTAAATATATAAAATATGCATTTTAAAATGATTATTTTTTTACAAAAAAGAATTTTTCTGTAGCCTGTAGGTACCAATTATTTTGATGAATAAATTTTATTTAAATTTTAAGTACAGTTTACAAGTTAGGTACCTACAATAAGTATTCAATTGTTTGGTTTCATTGTATGGGTTTTCAGATACTTCTTATAACTATACTCTAATAACCCGTCAATCAATCTAATAAGCAATTCTCGAGACGTGTTTTTAGGAAAAACTTGCGACTGGGAAAAGTCAACAATTATGTTAATATTATGATCAAAATTTAAAATAATTTTAAATTCAACGTTATTTTTAACGAAAAAAGTATTGATAAAATGATAAATTATTCTTTATTATAATAGAAGAAATATGCCTTAAAAACTAAAAAAAACTCAAATTATGCATTTATATGCAAAATAAAATGTCAAAACTACCTTTGTGAAAGTATGAAACATAGTTGTTTCGTACTCTACTATTTTTGTGACTATGCAAAAAAAATGCTAAAAGTCTTCTGCTTTACTAATTAAATACAATGTATGGAAGGACACCCCGTATTTATAAATCAATAAAATCAAAATCAAAATCAAATAACCATTTATTTTTAAACTATGCTTATTGCTTACCAAAACAAACTAATTATATACTAATACAAGATACAACTGACACAACTTGATTTCATTTTGTATTTTTGTAATAATTTATAAATTTGAATTAAAAATATTTGTAGGTAAAAGTCAATGTATAATTACAGCTTATAGGTGGATCTATCCCTCATACCCCCCCCCCCCCGTAATTACGCCACTGGTTCGTCATCATTTTAGGAACTTCACTTTTTCTTGTCAAAATATTGGTTTCTACTAAGTACTAACATGGATATGGATATTGGTAAAAAATGGAACAGTAATGTCAGTAATAATAAACCAACATTAAAAGAGCTTCAATAAATGTCTAAACCAATCAAGTAATTGTAAATCAATTGAATTGACACTTATTTGCACTTATAAGTTCTCTATAAGTAATACAGGTACGGCCGTACGGGTCACGGTTATCTACTCTGGTATCAAGAAAATAAAAATAAAGAAAACCCAGAATATCTAATTATATTATAGGAGTGCATTGTAAAACATCCAGATCATATTAAAAGATTCTAAAATAAATCAAACACCTACTTAAAAATTAAAATAAGTGCAGTTTGTTTGTTCTATCTATATTGTATAGCCTATTTCCTATATAAACAATAAATAGGTAGTTCCAAACTATAAAAATATAATTTTGTTTAGGTATGTACCAAATATTGAGTCTTACGCAAATTGAAATTTTATTTATTTCATAAGCTACAGTTGCGTTTTTAACTATAAAAGATAAAACAATACCATGCCTAACCTGCATTATATTATTATGCTGAGGTTTAATTAAAACATTATTAGCAATGTCATAAAACACTAAACACGCTGTGTAATTTGGTCAAATCATGTGATAGCGACCTTGAATCACAAAAAATTAGCTGTTATCCCAGGGGCGTTGTGTGACATATAAGATATTCATATTGAAACATAAAATTAATTACCTACCTACTTGTGAGTTGCGAGTAATAACCAATAACTAATAACAGTACCTAAACAAGATTAAATTACTGACAAAGCCTACTCGTCAATTATTGTATTGTAGGTAAATAAAAAATTTAAAATATACAGTTTCTTTTAAAATAGATAATCAAGTTCAAATTTGAATGAAATTAATTAGATATTTAAACAGAGGATAACAATATTAGTTATTTTAAAATTTTATTTTTGGATTGAAACTTTTAAAGAATAGATTATTATATTTTGTAGTCACTGCAAAAAATTTTTAAAGTACCATTTTCGACAAACATTTTTTTCAACCCACTAATTTATATTAAATAAATTACTTTAATATTAATCGTCATGAAATAAACCTACTTAGTAATATAGCTCACTGCATAGGCGGAGATCGGGGGGGAGGGCTTACGGGGGCTTAGTCCCCCCAAAATAAATGATTTGAAGTTAAGTACCCCCTAAGAATATTAAACAAACAATACCGTAATTTTGTACAGTTTGCAGAACTTTTTTCATTATTTTATATTCTTATATCCACAATTATATAAGTGTACCTAGTACATTACATACACACTATTTACCAATTTAATATTTACGGTAACATACCGAACAATTAAGTCACAATTTACAATAATATTATATTGTGTTTATATACTTAATATTGTACATATTTTGTACCAATTGCCAATTAGCCATCTATATTGAATAACATATTATACCATTCTATTTTAGATGGGAAAAATATTATTTCTTTTCCTAATTTTTGATAAATCTCGAGAAGCGATATATAGCTATTATAGGACTATCGCTATAGCTGCATTAAACCTATCGTAAAGTTTATAGCGATTGAATGAATCGTTAACCGTATTGACCATTTTATACTAAATTATATTTTACTTATTGTTTGATGTTCTTGAGAATACATTTCTTTTGAGATTATGATTTAGATTTTTAATAAATAATTTAGTTCAAATATGTTTGAAATATTTAGTCTGTTTGTCATCAAATATTTGAGCCCCCCTTAATATTTCACAAGATCTCCGCCTTATATTATATAAGCTGACATCGACGTCTTCTCGTGCCTATAAATATACCATACAAATAGCTCAAAAAGTATTTTGAAAATTGTATGGCTTATGGAAAATTTTAATATAAACATTCAGTAAAAATGTCAAGTATCTACGGTAATTCATGTTTTAATTGCAACACAAAAAGAAAGAAGTTAGTTTACAGGAAAATAATAAAATATCCAATGTAGTGAAAATTTGAAATTCAAACATCCATGTGAATTTAATTTAATTATCCGGTATAATTTTTTATTTTTGAAGGTAGAAAAACTGAAAATGAAATCTCGAATTACATTTTAAATGTTAGGTATGGGAATGGGAAGAAAAACTGCTATGAATTTGAAACTACAAAATAATTTGCCAATTTTCACGATTTTGACGAAATTTTCAAAATTCATACTTAAGAAGCAAAACTTTTTTTTTTAATTACACTAATTAAAACTTTTGAGGGACCTTGAATTACATTTTGAAGTTTTTTAATTACTTTACTAACTACACTAAATTGAATTTAAGGTATCAATAATATAATAAATATGAAACTTATATCAAAGTTGTTAGAAAATGTGTAGATGCATTTTTAATTAGGTAGGCAACCTATAATTTAAATAAGTTGTCACTTAGTAAATTGGGAAAAATCCGAAGTCCCCAAATGAGCCAGTAGGAAACCAACATAATCCTAAATATTTTTGTCGCAAGAAACTTGGAAGACCGTATATATATTTTTATAATTTTTTTTTTGAAATTTCCTAGTTTTAATAAAATAATTATTAGTAAAAGTATTGTCCAATAATCCAGTGCTCCACTGTAAATAGGTAATCTAACCCAAATGTTATAGTTACAATTTAACATTACTTTTATTTGTTATATTAACAAGTATTTATTCACAATATAATATTTGAACAGTAAATAATGTTTGATTAATTTATTTCTAAATATTTTTAAACTAAAAATAATTTCTTTCTTTGAATAAATGAATACATAAACTAATTTTTAAACAAAATAAATGACATCTCCCAGTTTTTTTTGTTGTTGACATTTTCCAATAAGACAATTTTCAACAGCCTAAAAAATTATGAACATAAAGAATAATAATAATATTATTTAAGCAACAAAAGTAACAATTGAATATAAAATAATAAAAATTATAATAACATAAGTAAAGCTCAATCCTTACAGAAGAAAATAGGGATTTTAAAAATAAACTATAACTGGGTTACGGGTAACCACAATATGTGAATCAAAATTTGAGTGAACCTAAGATTTAGCTAAAATAGTAAAAGGCATAAGGTAAAAATGTATAAATATTACAAAATATAATAATTATAACATATTTGGTATTAAATGTATTAAAATCAGTGAAAAATGATAGAATTCACAAATAATTATAATTATAATTTGATAATTAGAATATTGGTTAAAAATACAATAATGTGGGTATAATTATATAACAGGTTGTGAAAATAAGTAAAACACAGAAAGATAGTGTGGTAGGACTAAGGTCGTTTCGCAGGTGTAACATTCTGTGGAGAGGCTGGTTATGACTATACAAGATGAGATTGGTAAGAACAGAGAAAAGGGAATGGTGTCTGTGTCTTGTAGAATAGGAAGGAACACAAAATAGAACATAAGGTCAGCAGTCACAGTGTGAGACCAGAGTTGAAATACTGAGATTAGAGGTGTAATTATGAGGTGAGCGTTCAATTTTTAATAAAAAGGCAATAAGAGATAAGAAGCGATGAACTCGTTCAAGGCGCAGTTGATCACAGAAAAGGTATGGATATGACTGATCCATACTCGAGGATGGAACATACAAGGCTGAAGTAGCATATGCAAACAGGTTGCAGAGGTTAAGAGAGTTGTGTTGCGCTTTATGAATCTGAGGATCTTGAGATGTCTCCCAACAGTAACATTGATGTGGTGTTTAAAAGAGAGGGTGGGTGTTAGATAAAAGCCTAGGTCTGTTACAAGATCAACTCACAGGAGAGTAGAGGTGCCAAGATAATATGAATATAGTATGGGGCTACGTTTCCTACAGAAATTCATAGAGTGACATCTATCAAGGCTGAGAACTAAAAAGGTGTTAAGTCCAAATGAAGAAGGTATCCAGTTCAGCTTGTAAAAAGAGGCAGTCAGCAGGAGTCAATTTTACAAAAAAATGTTAATGCCTTCAGCAAAAGAGAAACACTTATTTATTAAATTAACAAAAATAATAAAATTAAGTGGGCTCATTCGATCTCCTTGAGGAACAATAGAGGAAACAACTGATAATTCTGAAACAGCTCAATTTAGGGTTTTAATTATAGGAAGAGACCCAGGAGATAAGCGAATGGCCGATACCGAGGGAGCCAAATGTGGCAACGAGAAGTCTATGATTTACTGAATTAAAAGTTTTTTTGAAGTCAGTAAAAATTGTGTCAATTTGACTGTTGGTCTAATATGTAGGCGGTGAAGGAAATATTGCTGGTGATGGTTGACTTACCAGGGCGGAAACCATGCTGGGAATCTATAATTATGTGGTTGAGATTTCTTTTGATACAGGAATAAACAATGGATTCAAAGAGTTTGGTCAGGTGAGGTAAAATAGAAAAAGGTCTGTAGTTGGAAACATCGGAGCTGTCACCAGCCTCGAAGATGAAAAAAAAAATAGAAATTACAAACAAAATGAATGTACACCATTTATATTAGATACACAAATTACTTACTTACTTTTTAATTATTTAATAGATTTAGGTTGAAGTTTAGGAGAAGGAACAGTAAAAACAACAGGTGAATTTGGTTTAGTCCAGTCATTTTTTTGTACATTTGTTGATTTAATTTTTTTCTGAAAATATACATAGTTAAATAATTAATATTTATTATTAATTTATTAAACAAATAAGTTTTTACTTGAGATAACTTAATATCAGTAGGTATTTTAAATTTTTTCTTTGCAGCAGGAATTGAATCTGCATTTAACATTGATTTAACTTGACTCTTATTACTTTCCATACTCACATTACTTCTTATTTGATGAGGACTTGCAGTAGAATAATCAACATTATCATTTACACTTTGATTGTATTCATTATTTTTCTATTGAACAAAAAACAAATATTTTATTTTTATAGATTATAGTAAAAAATTGTACAATTTTTGTATAAAAATGTGTGTACCTATCTAAAAATTATTATAATAGATGGCATAATACGCATTATTTTTAACTTTTGACATTTACAACAATTAATTTTTTTCAATTTTTTTTTCTTTACTACAATAAAACATTTTTATCTCATTGTCATAAGCCAAAAAAATTAAGTGATTATTCTCAAGCAAAAAAATAAACAGGAAGGTGCAATATGGTAGGTGTCAGGTGTACCATGTGTCATTGAGTTATAAAACATATTAATTATACATCACTTACATTGTTCTGCGACCTTTCTAAGCAAATATGAAAAACTAGAAGTCAGTCCATGTCAATAAGTGACTACACTTTTAAATTAATTTTTATATGGAAAAAACTGAATGATGTGAACTTAAAATTAAATGAACAACAAGAAACTAACTGTATTGAATCTTGAGGCTGTTGAAAGTAAACCATTTGTAAGTGGTCGGATTTAAGCAATATCCAATATATATCAAAAATAATGTGCGACTGTGTGTATAGTGACCAATTGTTAGAGTGCGTGAATTCCAAAAATGCTTGGTGTAATTAAAGACAAACTACGACTTAGATTCTTGAAAATCTGTAATATAGTCAAATGCCACAACACCTTCAGCTACTGTACAGTAGAACAGCTACTACCAACATTCCCTCCTTTTTTTGCTTTTCATAATTATTTTAATAAGTACTAAGCAATATCTAATTTGGACCTACCAAAGTACTAACTAGATTTAAATTACTACCAGAAACCTTCCTCGAAGTTGATGATCGGAGTTTTTTTTTCTATTAAGTAGTGTAGTCTACTAAGTGACTTTGTCTACTTTAGACACAATTTTTTTTTAACGCACATAATTGTCAATACATTAAATATTATTTAAATAATAAAAATAAATAAAATGTAATACTTAAATTGAATTACCTCTATTTTATTGGCATTTTTCTCTTCGTGTTTTAAATTAATACTTTTAAATGATGAGTTTAATGAATTCTCAATTTTTCTTGCATCATTTATTTGTTTTAAAATATTTGGTGAAATTGTTGTTGTCTACATAATATAGAATAATTACATATAATAGTTTATTTACAATTTTATCTTAAGACGAAGTGCAAAATGAATTTTTTATGATGGCCAATTTTATTATGTTAATTTATATTTTAATGAACTGGTAGTAATAATATCAAATTAAATTTTTTTTAGATATAATTAATATTGATTACAAATTTAAAATAGGTAATTAATAGGTCATCAAAAGACAGAAAAATCAAAATTGTTTAATATATTCATAAGGAACAAAAGTACATTATGATTTACAGTAAGAATTTACAGAAAAATATGTAGGTTCCAATTTACAACTAATATTTCTTATTTCTTACAAAGAAAAGATAAAGCATTTAAAAACTTACATGTGAGGCAGCAACATCAACAGATGTTAAGTGTTTCTTTACTTTAGAACTACCAATATGAATTAAAGGGGAACCATTTCTTTTTAAACTTGAAATGTTAGATTTTTGAAAAGGTTTGTTTGAAGTAGAATGTATACTAACATTCATGCTTGATACATTTTGATCATTAAATTCAACTATACTCAACTCCTATTTTTTTTAAATATGAGAAATTAAATAATTAAATATAAATATATTATTATACTGAAAAGCATAAAAAAGCATATACTCACATCATCATCATCACTTAATATCTAAAGAATCAAAATCAGGGATGAAAAAATTGATTTTATATAAAATGTTAATGATAACATACCTCAATAGTATCTACTGGTGGAAGTTGTTGAATTTTCTTCTTTGGTTCTGATCGAGAAACTTGATACTTAAGTCGCATAACTTCTACATATAGCTGTTTGGCTTTTGATTTATATTTCATCTAAAATTTAAATTGATACATGGTAAAATACAACTTATAATTTTATTATATATTATACATTTGTTTTAATATTAAAATGCATTATATAAAGCTTGATAAAAAATAAAAAATAAACTTTAACTTTCTCAAGTTTATGAATAATTAGATAATTATTTTTTATAAGTTAATAACAATTTCTTTAATATTGTAAAGTAAAAATAAAAAAAACATTTTAATTTCCTAATAAAAAAAATATATTGTGTCGGATTTCAATGTACAATAATTTAATTTTGAATGAATAAGTAACTAATTAATATTTATAAGTTTAGTTAAGTGGAGTAGCACAAGTGTACCCAGTAAAATGTTAGTTCACTAATCCACAAACCTAAACTTAAAATACTTACAATATTATAACTAATTAATTACTCTCTCAAAATTCAATTTCTATACATTGAAATATTCTTAAAATGTAATTTGCTTCGGAATAAAAAAAAATTTTTAATTTATGTTGTTATTCAAAAAAGTAAAAACAGAAAATTATAATGATAAAAATTATTATTTTTGAATGGTTCTAAATCATGGATGAAAGTTTATAAAAATATTAATAGTTTTCATGAAAGTCTAAGTTAAATAAAATTATCCTGTATCATAGGTTACCATAGATTATATTATTAATTAATATATTCACATAATTAGAAGTTAGTTTTTCAATCTGACCAAAATGTTCTTTGCTTTGATTTTCTAGTTCAATTTTTTCTTTTTCCAGTTCATTTTTTTCTGCAACTAGGTCTTTAGTAGAGTCTCTAAGTTTTTGATAAGCATTAACTAAATTTTTATTTAAATCCTGAAAGAAAAATATAAATTATGACATGTTATTTTATAAAGTACAAACTCATTTTTAAGTAGTTATAAACTATTATAAATAGTAATAAATTTCAATAGTTATTTACATCAATGTTTTTTTGTAATTCAGGTATCAACACATAATTAGCTTGTAGTTCCTCTCGTAAACCAGTTATTGTTTTATTAGACGTTTCAATTTCTTCCTTTAATTCAATTACTTCAGATTGATTTTTAATCTCTTTTTCTTTTTGTAATACTAATTTTTCAGTTTGTTCTTTTAATCTTTCATCTTGCATTTTCAATAACTAGAAAAAATGTATTACAACAAAACATCTTCCATGAAAATAAATTAAAATAAAACCTACAAAATATGGGTTTACACAAATACAGTTACAATTTCTTCATTATATATGAATAAAAAATTTTTAAATACTATTATATTATACTGTATTAATCAATTAAAAATATTATTTTTGTAATTAGATGAAACAGGGCCTAGGGCAGCTATTATTAGTATAGAAAATGTCTATTTTTCTGACTAACAGTATTGGTACTTTTGAAACAAATGTTCTTCAAGTGGTTGTTATTAAGTAGAATTTTCATTAAATAACCATTAATTGTATAGTTTAGTTTAAATTTGTATTTTAATCATTGGCGGTAAAATTATCATTTGTGTAATACAGTATTATACAACACTAAGATTTAAGCTTGGTGCTTAGTTGTTTTGTGAAGTCCAGAAACATTTTTAAAATTTTGCGGAATACATTAACTTTCATATATATTCACACATTACGAAAAGCCCCAAAATGCGGCTAACACTGATAATATATGTTTTAGACTGTGAGTTCTAAAAAATATGGGTACCCGATCATTTTTTTACAATCTGGCACCTAAATGTCCTTAGGCCAAACTACATTGACTAACAATATTTTAATTGTAACACTAAAATACTTTAAAATACTAACGTTGTCATAATTTTCACACATATCTTTAAATTTGCTTTCTGTCTCTTCTTGAATTCCATGTTGAGACGATTTAATACTGCTAATATCCTCCACCAAATTTGTATTAATTTGTTCAAGATATTCATTCTGTTCTTTTAACGTAAAATTATCCTTTTTTAATTTATCATTTAATTCCTCAATTATTTTTAGATTATCCAACAGTTCTGATTGCTCTTTAACTATATTTGATTGTATATTTAACTGTTTTTGGTTTTCATTTCTAATAAACATAAATTATACATTTTAGGTATACAAATTCTTATTAAGTATGTATAATAAATATTTTTTAATAACTACAGAGAATTCTTAAGTATATTAAGTTCATCTTCCAAAATTTGATTTTTAGTTCCTATTTCATCAAACTTTTCATTCATGGATTTATTTTGATTGATAAGTAGTAGATTTTGATTTTCTTTCTCTCTAAGTTCTGTTTCAAAGCGTTGACTAAAATAAAAATAACAATAATTTATCAAGAATGTAGGTATTAATTATTCACTGTTTGTATGATCATAATTTACTTAAGATACAACACAGTTTCTTTTTCTTCATTTAGTTTTATGTATGAATCATTCAGTTTTTCCAACAAAATATTATTCTAAAAAAAGTTATAATCATTGTATTTATTTTATTAAAATATATAAGTTAATACTAATTTTAGCTTTGCACCATAAAATAAAATAAGATTTATTTATTTTTCATAACATTTAGCAATTCTTACTATATATTAAAATATTGATTAAAATATGTTATAATAAATAACTTACTTCATTTTTTAAATATTCTATTTCATTTGTACATTCTTGTAGATTTGTTTTAAAAGCAGCTATATCAAGAGAATACTTATTTTGTAACATTTCCAAATCCTGTTTTGTTCTTATCTTTTCCATAGTCACTATAAAGGGAAATTATAATGAAGAGTTTTAAAAACATGTAGTTTAAAATATTAATAAGCATGAGGTTAGTTCTGTTATATTTGTCTAGAAAGGTTGTAGAACCAGAAACGGATTAGAGGGGGGGGGGTAATAGGGTAAATACCCCCTTCTCCCTTGAGCTTAATATATACAATTTTATTGCATTGTGATTTGTGAGAATTACCTATTATATTCGGCATTACATATTGTTATAATGATAATAAATAACGTACTCACTACCCAAAATAATTACGATAAACTGTCAATCGGGGCTTGGCATAATGATTTATTTCATAATAATTACTCGTTAAGACCACAGGTACACTAATAAATAATAATAAAAACTCTATCTATCTTTTTGTATGTAGGTACAGTATAATAGTTACGAGTTTGCCAAGAGTAAAAATAGAAAGTTAGACTTGATTCTTTAAATTTGAATTAAATATTTTATTGACATATTATATACTATTGTGTACAATGTATGTAACTTATTATATTTTAAATTTTAAATGTGTATTTTCATTATTTTGAATTTTTTTATTTTTGGTGCACCAGATCTATAAAATAAATGTTGTTTCTTTAAGTATATAAGTGTTATTATTAATACCAGTTTGTAAGAATAAATTCAAAATGGTGATATTAAAAAGTATGTTATTAAGTATGAATAATATCAGCTGGATACATTTTAATTATCCCCCTCCCTTGATAAATTTCTGGGTCCACCGTGGCATAGAACAATGCGAGATTTATTTATTTATTTTTTAATTTATTCTTCAAGAAGATAATGGGCCCCACTGAACATGTTCATGTTAATATGTATAAATATGTTTCATAACTCTAGGCAGTTATACTTAAAATTGTATTTCATAAATTTTTTTGTTATGTACTATAAGATTTTAAAATATTGAAAACTAATTTTTGTTTCATGATTCTTTAATGTAACTAGTTAATGTGATGGAAGAGTAATTTTCAATGATAAATTTAGAGCATTTTTTTCTCCAAAATATGTACGATATTGTAAAATTAAAAATTATATATTTTTTTATGGTACGTTCCTCATTTTCCCAAAAATCCTACGTTAAAATACAATTATCTAGTAATTTTTTTCCATAGATAGGCTGGGCTTTTTTCTTCATAAATTTGTGCGATTTTTAATTAGTTACATTTGTATCATATAACAACTACAGTACCTTGCTTTAATGATTCATCAAGCGTATCTGAAATACTCAAAATTTTTTCTTGAAATGTACTAGTAGTTTGATCCACTAATGTCATAACTTCCTTTTGTCTGGTTCTTGCATTATCTACTGTGTCACCAAGTCTGTTTAAACGCTCACAAATATTTGTGAAACTTGTATTAAGGCGGACACAGGTATCATTTACTGACTTTGTCCTGAAATAAAAATTGTGCATCTACTTATTATGTATACTTGTATACCTAAATTTTAAGTTTTTTGTTAAATTTTTTACTTGTTAAATACAAATTAACCTTGTGATATTGAATAGTTTAAGTATTTAATAAACTATTAAGTTACATATATATTATTATTGCTATTGAATTGGTAGGTATTGAAAAATGTAGAGAAACTATTCTAAAAAGATTTTATTATAATATTGATATTTTCTAATGCAATATAAAATATCATAATTTTGAATGTATGAAATTTAAATTTTATGACATTACAAGTTTGAATATTATAAACACAATTTATCAAAAAATGTGTATAGATATAAAATCAAGATGTTAAGTTTGCGTATGTTATGAGAAAATAATATTGACATGGTTCTAAAATGAAGAAAAAAATCTTGTAAAAAATCATTACTTTTCCATTATATTTTTGCACTGGTTATTTAGAACATAGTTGTTATTTTGAGAATTCATCATGTTTGTATGCAAGGATTTAATGGTGTAATCCCTTTCAACTAATGCTTTTTCATATTCGGACATTTTCAAAGCTAGCGTTACATTATTTTGATCAATCATCATGCGTTGTAAATCAAAGTATTTTCCAGGATCGCAAAGGTCTCCATTTAGCCCACTGTTTTCCAAGACTGATTCATTAATATTTGTGTTCTATAAAAATTTAAATTATAATTAATATCTATATTTGGAATTTGTTTAGCTTTGAACAAAATGTTATTATAGCTGAACAATTAATATGTATACATACTAATACAGTCTACAGAATAATAAATAATAACTTATTATAGCTATAATAAATAATGAGACATAATTTAAGGTTGTAAACGAAGATTAAAGTAATGAGGGGATTTTAGCTTTGATAGTGGAATAAAAGTAATACTAGAAACCTATTTTAGATTAAGGCCTTTACAAAAGATTAAGAACAGACTTTATTAAAATTATCTTGTACCTAGTTGATTTTGGTTTTTTGAGTAAAATTAATTCTAAATACATGGGTAATTATACAAAGTAGGTAAATATAACTATTTCAATACAGTTGCATAGGTACTTACATTTAAACTATGAAAAGTAGTGTTATTTGGCGAACAAGTAGTTTTATCATCACAAACATCCAGTAACCTATGATTTTGCTCGGGTTGATTCATTTTGTGACTTTCAGTTATAATATGGCAGTGGTCAATAAACTATATACTAAAGCCAGGTTTTTGGCGAAAACCCTTGATCAGTATTATTGGATATCAAAAAACTTCTATTCGAAGACCAACCAAACTCTTCTAAAATATATTTTAATAATAAAAACTACAGCAGAATAAAGAAAACGACACATGCCTAATACTACGTAAAAATATACGAGGCTCCGATGGGTAAAAATTACTTACTTGAGGACACCATGGCTCATGAGCTCATGGGCTCAAATACAAAATATACATTTTTTTTGTAATGTATCAAGTAAAAAAATAATACTTCAGTATTCGAGGACGACAACTCAACAGATAACGACTGACAGGTTGTAACTTCTTTAAAGCGTACGTACTATACTACTATGTAACTACTTATAAACTACTACCTGTCTACCTATAGTCAAAATCGAAAACGAAAAGAATTATTTTAAGACCAGTAGGCGTTTAACGTACAGAAAGACAAAGGTAAAGTATTAAAATGGCGGTTGCCGGTTGGTGAAAATACAGGAGTGCAACATGACAGGAATGAATCAGTAATATTTTAATTTTAAATCGGTAAATACACAGATGCTATAATGCTATATATAACATCTGTACTCTGTAGGTAAATAGAACATATTAATACTATTATACATCCTACATCCATACCATTGTACATAATACATAAGCAATTGAAGTATAGCAGTAAAGTAAATATCTAACATTCTTATGTATTTAGATTATGTTATTTTTTATTATATTTAGCACTAATCATAACTCCCTATCACCAACATAAGCTGCATAAGCTTACTAGAGGTAGGTTAATCAATTCTTATTCAACTTAATGTTGTTGCATAAAATATGTTTTGTTTTTGATTTCTTTAATAAAAAAAACTAAATAAATAATAGCATGAAAGTATGTTGACCTATGACCCTATAATATCCTAAATAAAAAATATACGACATGCCCACAGGAGATTGTAAATTCCACCAATTTATATTTATAGTACAGCTTTTATGGTTGAATTGGTTAACATGTAAATTCCACTGATACTTTTATTTTACCTGGAAAAAAATACAAATTCCACCTGTACGTATTTTTTCCCTGAAATACTTACTTTTTATTCAGTAAACATGTTAACAATATAGTTATACTACACATTAATACTGATAAATATGTAAACAAAATAGCTTACGTTTTAATAGTTAAATTTTTAAATTGTTGATGTTGCGTGCATAAAATATGCACTGGGTCTCTACTATCACTAACTAACATCCTTTTCGCATAAAGTTAGTCAACTATTTCGGGTAACAATAAGCAATCCAAATACAATTTTAATAAAATGTATAGATAGCTGATATACCATTTGTAAATTGTATGCACGTGGCACATGGCTTAAATATACAATAGGTTATTGCACATAGGCCTATATTGCTACAAAGCAAACTAAAATGAGCAAAATGGCAGCTTAACAGTTAACGCTATGTCCTACGCGAATCCCGGTGAATGCGAGAGAATTCTATTCCAACCATGCTGTTCGTCCCGCTATCTATATATTTGATTTCATTCCGCGTTGCGGCAATACACACATCGTGTATTCCTATAATAGGAATATTATCTCTAGACTCTAAGTACTACATATTTTTATTTATTCTATACTGTATTATACTTATATTATTATTATCTTATTTATATTTTTAGAATTGCTCTCCCTGCATACAAGCTTTGTTTACCGGAGGTTCTGTAATATTGTACACAATATACAGAACGTTTTGAAATAAAAAAGTTGTTGATGTAGCATGTAGCATTAAACTTACTATTATTATTATGAGAGTAGCAGTTGGTCTAATAGGTACTATGTTTTTTGACTAACCTGACAACCACAGCGAAAAATAACAGCAGTTAATTAAGAAGTAAACATTTTAATTTATATTATTATAATATTATACTTTAGTTTGTTTCATGTTTGAATGTTAAATATTAACCTTATACTTAAACTTAATTAAAAGTTAATTCTTAGTCAGACGACCGAAGATGCCGCGGTCGATAAAGAGATGCCACGGCCGACAATGAGATGCCGTGGCCGATAATTAGATTCCACTAAACACCACTAAAATTTTAATATTATGTACCTATATTATATAACTAATTTCAATAAAGATTTTTGTATCCAATAATTGATACTTGAAAACTTTTTGTGCACACTTTAATTTAGATACTTCATTTTTCATTAATGGTAAAAACAAAATATGCTTACTTTTTATAATTTAGTACTCTGAAGAGTCTGAACTAGTAATTTGGTACTTTTTATATAAATAATTTATTAAGATTTGTAAAATAAAACTTTAATATATTTCATATATATAAGAGGGTTTACCAGTAAATAGTAATACCACGAATTAAAAATATATACTACTTATATTTTAATTCTTCAATACTTAATACACAGTCAAAGATGACATATGACTAAGGTATTACCGATATATATATTTTTTAAATTCGGTGAATATTTTATAATTGAAAAACATAAAATCGATGGTATTTCCCCATAGTACATTTAATTTAATAAATAAATAAATAATAATAGTTAAAAAAACAAGAGATGCTAAACTTGAACTATTGGGGTATTGAAGACAGTTTTGCATTCTACTAGTTACGACCATAATGCGTACATAACTAAAAAAATATAAACCTTCTTGTTTAACGTATAAGAGCCAGCATATACAGATTTATAACCCTCTCTAAGAATGTAATGCACTAAAAAAATTACCAATAATTATAGACACAAGACACTATAATTCAAGTTTTTTAAGTGGATGAAATAAAAATATATTTATAGACTTATAGTACCTAAACATGATTAATATATAATACCTATAATGTTGTAACGGAGACAACCGTGCATCGGCCCATTGCCCACCACCCTGCTTTTAAAATCAGACAGGGGCCCATGTTCATCTCCCCCCCCCCCAATAACGTCACTGCTTTTCTAAGGTCTAAAACAAAATATAGGCGTAGATACAATTTCAATGAATACTTTTCATTTAATTTATATTTACATAACGTTTGTATAATAATTATACAGTGAAATAGTGACATATTTACGGGGAGCCCAGAGATTCTAGAGCCTTAGAACAGTTAGAACCCCCTCAAAAAAAAAATTACCATAAAGATATTGAAATTTTAATTTGATATTATATATAAATATATTATAATACAATGTAGATGATGTTTATACAAAGACGTTAAGTATAACAATAGTCAATAAATAAATAACAATTTTCTATTATCAATCAAATGTTAGAACTAAAAAAATTGTTGGACCCTCCCCCTAGAAAAAAGTTTAAGATACGCCACTGTACAGATACAATTAAGTATTAAGTTGTTAGCTAGGTAATTGTTAAATAAAAATACATATATTATAAACCTAGTGTAATACCTGTACGATAATTATTATAGTTTATACTTCATAGTTAGTACCTCCTAGTTCCCCTACTAACCTCTTAGGTTCTTTTTTGTTGAAGCTATGAATTTTCATTTAAACGATGTTCAAAATAGCATGAGTAATATATCTGGAGTCTGGACAAGATAGTAAGATACTAGTATATATATATTGATAAATGTACTAATTTTAACTGGATATTCAGTTTTTTTAAGAGAGTCGACATTTGCATTTCCTATAGTTACGAAGTAAGTGATTTCTACATTCCACTTTTTCTCCTTTCAATCTGTTCCATAATGTATAATAGACAATATGATTACTTCGTTTAATATATTAATTATTTTTGACACTGTTGTAATCGTCTCCAGAAAATCCATATAAAAATATTTTACGACTGGGTAGTGACCTTTTTTTTATTTATACCTTCTTTAAAGTCTACTCCCGATATTTTACTCAAGTCAATTTTTGAATCAATTTGGCTGTTTCTTGTTATTATAAAAATAACAATCCTAATACCTACCTACAACTATATAAGAATCATTAAATAATAAATTCATATTATATAAAACCTATAACTGAAAAAATAAGTACGTAATTTACTTAGTTTAAATTTTAATTGTTTATTTAATACTCTGTGTAGAATGGTTTAAGCTTAAAGCTACAATATCCAGCTCAACAGTTGAGCCCAGAGTGAAGTAAAAAGAGCAATCAACGACTTAATATTATAAGTACCCAATTCGAGCCTCTAGGTTATAAATGTAAATCAAGTCATGATGTACAAAAGATTTTGTGCCTTATATAATAGTGCAATGGTGCAGATATTTAGTCATTCGAGTAAACACTGATTAGTGATTACTGAACACGAGTTTTGGTTTCAAAGAATACTAGGTATAATAGGTTGTAAATTTGTGATCGAGCGCGACGCGTGTTAGTACATTCGAAGTAGGTAGGTACAATAGGCAAGATAAATACGTAAAGGTCAACTGTATTGACACGAAACCCGAAAAATTGACAGCCTGTATAAATGAAGAATAATAAATAGTAATCATTTATCCGATTATGTATTAAGACTTTTAAATTAAGAGGATATCAGCTCGAAAAAACTCGACAAATTATGTTTAGCAGAACCAACCTCGAGTTCCTACTTTTAAAATTAGACTGAATTCACATATTATTGAACCTTAAGTTAAGAACATTACCCGTGTCACTACTCTGGATTTTTAATTCTTATGAATTTTTTTAATTGTAATAATTTTAACACTCATAAGTAATAACTTATATCAACATTAAAATATAAAGTATCCAACGTTGCCGCAGAGGTAATATTCGTAACTTAAAGTTTGATGATAGGTTAATTCAGTCTAAAGCTATAATTAACAAAGGTAAACAGAGGTTTAGTTTCCGCTAAAAAAGACCAGTCCACGGACTGAATTAAAATATAGGACATAATTTGCCACCGGGAGTTATTAGTAGTTATTTAGCCATAAAGTTCTTATGTTATTTAAAAATTAAATTTGACTGATGTCAATTTAATGAAGACAGTGATTTAAATTTAATAATTATACTGACATTTTAAACGTTTGAAAAAGAATAGGTATAAGTAATTTTAATGTAAATAATTTAAATATGGTACTCACATTTTAAATTAAAAATAAATAGAGACTGAAACATCAAAACATAAATAATTATATGTAAATGATTTGTATAATGTATTGTATCCAAATGTATTATATATTTTTTTTTTATTGATCATAAAATTATGCATTTCTTCTTCGACGATTCAGGCCACTATAGAATTACAATAGATTATTATTTTTACAATAACTATTATTCAGTTTAAAAAATATATATCATTAATTCAGTCTTATCTTACATAAGGTTTAACATTATTGTTGATTTAAGAACTCTATTGTGTTGTTTTCGTTTTCAGTATTTGGACCTATAGACTTGTTTCAATACGGTGGCTTATGTTGAGTTTTTCTCTCTGTTTTTCATACTGTTTGATTTTTCGAAGATGTTATTTGATTGTGAGCATGGTGCTACATGCATGGCAAATTGGTGGGTCACCTTTCGCCATCAAATAGGTATGTGTTATACTTTTATATAATTTCATAATTCATTAAAGTTATTATTTAAAAATTAAATTTGACTGATGAAAGTTATATTGTAAGAATTAGGTACCTAGCCACCTA